AGAACCAAAGGACCCACCTGTTACTGAAAACCTTGCTGCAGTTGTAAACCTTGATGGACAGCATTTCGCCCATGATGAGCTTTCCATAGTGAGGCCAGCGAAAGAGCTGCAAACAAAGGGAGCGGGAAGGGATGACAACTCATTCCCAGCCACACTTTCCCACATCTGGCGGCTCCTTGGGTCCCCTGTGAGGTGACCAAGTCCATGGGCATGACAAAAAGCAGCCTTGGTGGGGAGTTACTTTCCTGCTGGCCAGGCAGACCAGAGCCCCCCCAGCAGCACAAATCAGCTGCTAAAGAAGCCAGAGCAGCATCACCCTGGAAAGAGAAGGATGCTTGTGCCTACTGGAGTCCCTGAGCTGACAGGCTGTGGAATGAGCTAGGAGAAGGTTCAGAGGCACTTGGGGAGAAGAGACCATCAAGGCAGGGAGTCATCTGGCTCATGGCAGAGCTGCACCCTAAAGCTTCAACTCACAAAACCCCCCAAACTGGCTGCTGCTTCTCTTGCCCCCCAGCCCTCTCCACCTTTCCCCAGGAAGCACATTGGCATTGGGATCGAGCAGGGGACAGGTGGGAACCACCCACTGGCACAGCACAGCTGGGCTGTCACAGGATTCAGGGAGGTGGTACTGGAGAGGTGGACGTGCTTCCCAGGCCAGCCCAGCCCTGCACCCTCCTTTACCCACTCCTGTCCCACAGGAATGGGAGGCATCGACCACAGTGACAATCTGGACTTCTGAGGGCAGAAAGGCTTTGGCTTTAGTGTGCCCAGGTTTCCAGGCAGGTTTACCACTCCCCTGAGTGTCAGCTCCTGCAGTTTGTACAGTGAGGGACCCACCTGCCTCCCTGAGCAGAACAGAGGAACGAGGCAGCAGAGATTCCCAGAAAACTGTCATGTGGAAGGTATCCCTGCCTGTGGCATGGCGGCTGGAACTAGACGATCTTCAAGGTCCCTTCCAACCCAAACCAACCTGTGACTTTATGACCGAGACGCTGACCTGTCCCACCCCCGTCCCTCAGGTTCTACGTGTGCCCGGTTCCCTCACCTCCTCGAAGACGGCCTCTGGGCCACAGCGGACCTTCCTCGTCTTCTGGGTGAAGCCTTGAGAAGGAGAGGGGAGGCGTGAGGCGCTGGCAGGGGAGGACAGCCCCTCTCCCTCCCTGCCCTCCCCGGAGCCCACCTCTGAAGCTGAGCTGCACCTGCCGCTCTCCGCGGCCCGGGAGCCCGCAGAGCCTGCGGACGCGGGCGCTGAGCGCCATCGGGGCTGGGGCCGGGGCCGGCAGCGCTGCCCCCCGCCCAGCCCGCTCCGCCCGCCGTGACTCACAGCCGGCTCGCCCAGCCGGTCCGGCCGGACGCTGGATCCACGCCCCGGCACCCACGGCCGGGGGCAGCCCTGGCTGTGCCTCCCTCAGCCCAGGGAGCCTCTCCCGGCTGATGGAGCCCCGCGCTGCGCGGCTCGGGGAGCAGCAGGAGCTCCCCCTTGCCGGGCTGGAAAGGGCAGAAGGGAATATCCCCCTCCCACGGCCCCGCTCCAGCTCGGGGCTGACGCCTGGGGGGGGACTGAAGTCAGGACTGGGAGACACCGGGCCAAGCGCTGCGACGAGGGCAGAGCCCGGCTCTGCTCTCAGCCACCCCAAGCCTGCACCTGCCCCGGCTCAAAATCACGGCTCCTGTGGTTAAAACCCTCCAAGGCAAACAGAGGGAAAAAGGGCAGCTCGCTGGGCCGCTCACCGCAGCCCTCAGATTGGGAGGGTTGGGCTCCCCTGCCATCAGCAAACAGCAGGTGCTCAGCAGCCCCTGAGCAGGGAGCCGGGGGCTGTGCAGCACAGGGGGATGCCAGAGCAGTCGGGGACAGCGGCTGCAGCCCAGCTGCCAGCCCTCTGCAGGACACAGACAAGCACCAAGATCCACAGACACTGGGGCAGGAGCCTCAGCTGCTCCACAGGGCACTGGCAGCAGCAGAGGGAGGAGGGAGAGCTGGGGCACACTGTGCTCCCCACTGCACCCCCTGGGCCTGAGACAGCTCATCTCACCTGCACGAGAGATGATAGGGATGCCAGAGCCCTTACAGAGCACAGATTTAGGCCAGATTAAAGCAATCAAACAATCCTGAGCTGAGCAGAATTTGGAGAGCATTTCTCTCTCCCGAGGTTCTGGTTCTCTCTCAGCAGCCTGCAGCAAACACCCACATGCACACACACCGTACAGGTGCCTCGCAGCAGGCCAGGGTGGCTCATCCAGCTCCACAAACACCAAGGAGTGAATCATAGCTGTTCAATGCCAGCTGCTTCAAAGCAAGCCCTGCGGATATTCCCTTTATTCCCCTCTTGCACAAGCACTTCCTGGAGCACCAGGGAAGCGGTGCTGGAGGCGGTGGAAGCATGTCAGAGCGCCCGGGTGGGAGGATGCAGCGTCATCGTGCAGCAACACAACACTGCAGGCTGGCAGCACTCAGCACCACTTTAGTGAACCCAAACACGAGAGCCCATCAGTTTAGGGCAGCACAGAAAGCTCAGTGCACTGACCCCACATCCAGTCATGGCTGGAGGGGGGCAAGAAGGGCAGTTTAGGCAGTTTAGTGAGACATCCAGACCACTAAAGTATGCTGCTGCTGCTGAGAGGATCCAATACTTGCTCAAGGCTGATCAAAAGACATCTCCCAGTGGAGTTTGTGTGGCTTCCTCAAAAAACCTGGAGCAGTCCCATGAAGACAGTGCCTTTTTTTAGCACAACAGTCTGGGGGAACCAACTGTTTTAGACCCCAAGGAAGGCCATTAGCCCAACCAGTTGTCTGGGCAAAGAAGGGGGATGGAGCCTGATCTCCCATACAGGAGGGAGCTGTCAGGTAGTGTGGCAGAGCCTGGCATGACATGCCACCAGTATTTATTGTCAGATGTCCAGGAAGCAAGAGGAACCCTCCCCGGTGAGCTCCTGCAATGGCTTTTGATTTATACAAAGCCCTAAGGCTGAAATACCTTTGGGGATCACAAGTCCAAGGGTGTTTGTTCAGTCTTAGTCAGGGTAAAGAGACTTCGGGGGTGTTCCCCATGCTCAACACGGAGATAAACCAAGACAGTGACTGGGGTGGGCAGAGCGTGGGCTGGCACTGAGCGAGAACACGTGTTGTGTTCTTCTGAGGAAGGTAACCTGAGCTCCACCCTGACCTCTCCTCTAACTCCAGCGACAGCCATGCCATCAGTCTGCATTCCAGCTACACCCAGGGCAGCACGTGGCAGCAGACAGACCTGCCAGCCTTCCAAAGTGCTGCACTTCCTCTAAAACCTGGTGTCCTGAGGAGAGTCAAGAATGAGAGAAAACTGACAAAATTCTGCCATGCCAGGTCAGCAGCTTCCAAGCTTGACCCTCCCAAGGCTTTTCACCTGGGCCCACATCCATCAGCTCTTGTTCTCAAGTGACAACTGCAGGACTTGTGTCCCTTTTCCTGCTCCCATTTCAGCCATTTATTTGTGGATAAAGAGCATTTCCTCCAAATTCTGTTCTGCTCCCACAGGGGGAAGTAGTTCCTCAGACCTGCCTCTGCCACATCTTGGCCTATTCCTCCCCAAAGCAGGAAAGGTCTCTCCTACCACCAGTGAGTCCAGCACCTGGAAACCCCTCAGCGAGTTTCAGAAGAGTGACTTCACTCCTCAGAGTGCAGACATGGAGGATTCACTCTCTTCCTTTGAGTGGGAGCTGGCAGAGGTTTAAAAAGGAGAGGTGAAATGGGTTTCCAAATATAAACACACACAAAAACAGCCTTAGGTTTCTTGTAGGCACCACGCAGGGAAGGAGAGCTCTGCCTACAGGCTGCAAGCAGCTGAAAACATGAGTAAAGGATGTTCCCCATCACACTGCAGTTTCTCAGAGAAGACTTGGCACAGACTCATCCTGGCTAGCAGTGGTCCTGGCCCCACAGCCCTTCAAGCACGATATGTGGTGGTATTTTGGTGGCAGAGGCCATCCAGAATGACTGGCCCAGTTTAGGGTGAGACTTCAACCCCATGTTCTGCCTTCACACAGGTTTGTAACAACCAGTTTCAAGGCCTGGATCACTGGTGCAGTGTGCCAATGTCTTCTCACCATTTCAGGGGTCATCTGGTAGAACAGACAAGTTCTTCCATAATTTTACAGTACAGAAACAGCTCGTGTTACTGCAGGACAGGGCTCAGGATTCAACAGTCAGTGATTAACAGGGAACAAAATTAACAATGATGGACAACTAGCTCTGCTTTTTTTTGGATCCCACTCAACCTAGGCTCATTCAGATGCTGAAACACCAACAGCCACGCTGCTGGAAAGCAAAAAGAGAAGTCCAGGAAGGAAATAAGAGTCCAGACATGTTATGTAAGTCAAAGCAGATTACTGATTTATGTAACTGGAAGTGATGACCACTTGTAGTGCAATGACAAGCCCAAGTTTACCTCTATATTGAAATGAACCACCAATTCCCATTGCTCAAAGCAGTTGTGCTTCGCTGTCACCTCCAGTCCGCAGACCATGCAATACACACTTCACACTTCTGAGGACAAGGAAGCTCTCTGGAGTTCCACAGATAGTTACTTCTTCATTTTGTAACTTGTGTGACATAATGAAATGACTCAAAGCATCCTCATTTTAGTGTTTCCAGTTGCTGAATTTTTAAAGTCACACTAATGTGACTCATTAATCCCACCCCATCCCGCTAATTAATGATTAATCCTCACTGATCCCCCACAAATAAGCAAAGTGCCATGTTCTTAAGCTGTAACAATGGCTCTAAGCAGAAGCTTATCACAGAAGTGAATTTTGTTAATAGAAAAATGTGATTTAAAAAAAAAAAAAAAAGATAGCAAAACATGGTCACTGAAATTTAAAAATAAACCTCTACATGTAAAAAAATATACTGGCACTTTAGGAAGGCACAACAGGCATCCAACCAACAGTCTTTGGTCACATCCAGGACAGAAGGGTCCCCATTTCCAAGGCAGCTTGACAGAAGAAAAACACCTATCAAGGAGCACATGGCTGCAACACTTCTCCCCTGCAGCTCAGCACCGCAGCAGTGCCATGTGAGCAGCTCAGTGCACTGCCTGAGAGCCAGCAGAGCAATGACACCTGGTGCGATGTGTCACAACCAGACACTGTTGCAAGGTGCAAAACCAACAAGGTCGTTTTTTTCTGTGACAAAAAACTTCCAGCAGTTGGGGGTTCTCCCCGTATTTCCAGCTCTTCCATTTAGGAACAGGAAAGATGAGACTCAGAGCGCAGGCAGGTGAAAGAAGTGGTGTGAGCAGCGCAATCTCCAGGCCCTGAGCACCCGTGGTGTGCCAGGGAGAACGTGGCTGCAGGCAGCTCCTCACCCAGCGGGACAGGCCAGCCTGAATTACATGGCCTTGATTTCCGGGGGCTTCAGGGGGGGCCACCCCTTCCATTTATAGTAGGACACCAACTGCTTGGGCACTTCAGCAAGGACCACCTGGGACAGCGCTTCCCGGGGAGCCTGGGGGAGAACAGGGAGAATAAATCAAACACGGCAGACAACAGATGGGTCAGCCCAGTGGAAAACTCTCTAAGGGAATTCCAAGGGCAGTCCCCACCTGCCACACTCACTCCCTGTTTTAAAGAGTTGCCTGCTACAGCTTTAGGGGCACTTCCAGTCAGTCTCGGTGAGCACTGCTGATGAAAACCACTCGCTGCCACCTCAACCCCAGACTCACAGAGCCTGTACATGGCCCTGACCTGAGTGCCAAACCACCCCACGACCAGCAGTGTCTGTTATTTGGGTGTTCACTGGACTCACTCAACCCCATTCAGTGTGCAAATGGCAGTGCTGGCCCTCGAAGTCAGGAGGAGCCGAGGAATGACAGGACTGCTTTCAACAGCAGGGAAGACTGATCTCAAGTTCAGTCACTCCTGGGACTCAACATCTGAGACTGACAACATGATCTCAGTTCCTTGCCTAAATGTTCGCATCGCAGCAGAGAGCACACCCCCTTTAACCCCACGACAGCCGAGAGGTAACACACGAGATCAGTGATACAACGAGGGCTCCTCGAGGAAAAGCTGCAAGACCGAGAGGGTCTCAGCTGTGAACACAGGGGCAAACATCTCAACCCTCACTGGGAACCAGCAGCACGGGCAGCACTCTGAGCCTCGTCATCAGCATGGTCACTGCTGGGATGTCTCAATGCTGGCTCCAGGACTCCTCTGCGCTTAAAAACAACTTACATTTTTGAACTGCCGGAAGGGCACAAACTGCACGATGTCCCGTGCAGCCGGCTCTCCTGTCACAGACTTCAGGACACCATTGTCTCCATCCAGGAACTCCATGGCTTTGAAATCGGCTGCGCCAACGCCCACGATAATGATGGACATGGGCAGCTTGGAGGCATCGACAATCGCCTGCCTGGTTTGGTCCAGGTCAGTGATCTCTCCGTCTGTGATGATCAGCAGGATATAATAGTGCTGAAAAACACGAGAAAGCCCCCAGTCAGGTATTTCAACACCAAAGCTTACATAACTGAAGGCAAACACAGCAACCTCTTTGCTAAGAAAGAAATCAGATGTTGCTGTGGATAAGACAAAAGAAACTTATGTTTATCCCCATTTTTTCCTATGCCTATTTTCTGTGTGCACTTCAGCTTTCCTCTGTACTAGAAAAAAGATAAAGGATTAAGTTCAATTTATAAAGAACAGTTACATCAACTGGCAAAAAGTACTAGGAGATGAAAAGTACTACTAAATTCACATATACAAAATTCACTGATGGGTGCTGCTTTACTGACTGACATCTCAGAAAGGCTAAAGATATTTATTATCTCTGCAGTGGAACTCAAAAAACCTTCTTTTTTTTGTTACCAATAATTTAAATTATAAGTGTTCTAAGTGTGAGAAACCTCAAAACACAGCAATGACAAATAACATGAGACAAAGACACTCTAGAGATAACTGAGGGCAAGAATACAGGAGCTTTTATAGAAAGAAAGAAGTATCTCACACTTATTAGCATGGCAAAGTGTTTAAAATTTCCATCCTTCTCCAGAAACTAAGGTTTAGTACCTGTTTCTGAAATGAGGAATTGGCATTTTCTAGCAGCTATCTATGGGCTTAAAATGAGGGGAACACAATGAAAATAAGAGAAAACTGAATTTCCAATTCCAAAACACAGGTAACACAAGGGTTACTATTTTTGTGCCCCACTGCTGACAGATTCTTTATTTAAATAGTTAGCTTTCAGTCCAAAAGAAAAAGTAGAGATATTTAACACCCAAGGAAAACTGAGAAGATCCCCCCAAAGTGTTGTGAAGGCTAAAAAATACTCTCAGAAATGTAAGCAATGCCTCTCTGTGGGCTGGTAACAGAGGACCAAACCTGGGATTCTAAGGAGGGGAGGTAACAAACATCGCTCTACTATTCCATTCTATCCCACTGTAAACATGGAAAACACAAACATCAGCCCAAGGCAGATCCCCAGGAAAGGCCCTGCACTCACTGCAGCAGTCCCCTGTTGCACGGAGTGTGCTGCAAACCTCGCCACGTGGTTTATGATGGGAGAGAAGTTGGTTGGCCCGTAGAGTCGGATCTGGGGCAGGATCTGGCGGTAGGCATCCACCACCCCTTGGATCCCTGCAACACAAGGAAGCAAACCTGCCACAAGAGCCCCACGGTTTTTCCAGTCATCATTTTACAAGCATTACCAAGTAAAGGATAACTCACACAGCTGTGAACTCCTGAAGGGCAAATGAGCAGCAAGATAACAGGAAATACAAGAAGCACAGAGATGGAAGCAGTGGACAGCTGCAGAGATCGGATTTGCACATTTCTCCCCCATTCCACATTCCTCACATGGCACTCTTTGTGCCTCTAACATCACAAAGCTCAGGATGCTGGCCTGTGAGTTGGCAGGGCTGACTGAGAGGGCTTTAACTTAGGTCTGAAGGAGGGAGGGGATAAGAGCAGGCTCAGCAGAGATGATCCCAGGGGTGGCACGCCAGTGTTGGGGGTGAAATCCATCGCCCAGCTGAAGAGTATCTATACCCCGCTGACTCTGGAACGTGCAACACACTTCTACTCTTACAGAGATGAGCCAGGAACTCCTAAGGTAATAAAAACCAACAGGAAAAACACACCAGAAAATTGTCTCGAAGGAATTAAGGGCTGTTGCTCTAGGAAGGTGACACAGCTGTCACCCAGCTGAAGTGCCTTCACACCAGCAACACTCAGCACGGGCAACAAGCAGGAGGAGGTGGAAGCCACCCATGCTGCTGGAAACTACAACCTTGTTGCCATCATTGACACTTGGTAACACTGGCCAAATCCCACGAGTGGAGTGCAGCAATGGGTGGCTACAGGCTGTTCAGAGGGGCCAGGGGAGGAAGGACAGCTAGAGGAGAGCTGCTCTCTACATCAAGAGGTGGACTGAGCGTGAAGAGCTGCCTCTGAAGAACAACCATGAGCAGGTCAAAAGCCTGTGAGTAAAAAATCAGAGACTGAGACAACAAAGGGAACTTTGTGGTTGGGGGCTACTACAGGCCACCTGATCAAGGGGAGCCTGTTGATGAAGCCTTCCTGCTCCAGCCACAGGAGGCATCCTACTCTCCAGCCCCTGTCCATCCTGACATCTGCTGGGAAAGCAGCACAGTGAGCTGTGGGCAGTGCAGGAGACACTTCTGGAATGCATGGAGGGCACCCCCTTGGCCCAGACAATCAACAGCCCTCCCAGAGGGACCGCGTTACTGGCTCTGTTGGTCACCAACACAAGTGAGGTAACTGGGGACATGAAGATCAGAGGCAGGACTGTGTTTACCTTGTCCTTTCTACCTTGTCAACCAATTTCCCTTGTTTAATTGCTTATGGTCTAATTAGACAACAAGGTCAGGAGCTCTCTGGAACAGTAACTTTTCCTATTCCTTGTGTGGAGGTTAGACAACAATCTCTAATTCAGGATTCAAATATTTCTGCAACAGAAGCAGCAATCCCTAAGGTTCTTCTACACAAGAAGCTTTTCTGAGGTTAACTAAACAAATCTTTTTTTTTTTTTTTTAAGTCTGACTTTAAATGGTACATATTCTTCTCTGGATCCACCTAAATTGGCCTGTTTCTGTATCAATGTAGCTTCAGTTGCCACTGCTGCTTGCACACTGCTGGTCAAGTACCCCTGGTTTCTAACAGCCTCGGCAGATGGTGGCTCTGGAAGTGTGACCAGCCCAGGCACACTGCTGAGCTGAACCCACTGCCACCTGGAACCCAGCAGAAGTAACCAAGTTGAAGCAACAAAAACTTTAGTACAGACTAACAATCAAATTAAACCTAGACCCCTTCGCTGAAGTCTGCAACACACACCTGCTCTGGTCAGCACCCAGGTGAGAGTAAATCTAGTTTGCCCCATGCCTTGGTGCATCTGATTTTCACCAGTTATGAAATAACTATTTTATATGAAATATAAATAACTCTGTTTATATGAAATAAACACAACTCTTCAAAGATCTGCCCCTCTCAGTGACATTATTAACAGAGGTGTCCTCACCTGGGCAATAAGGGTTGCTGGGGTTGAAGTTCAACGCAAATTCATGAGATACCTGAGAAAGGGGACATGACAAACAACGTCAAAAGGGAATGCAAACACAGACAGAGCAAGTGCACAGTGTCAGGAAGGCCCTACCTGCCAGCTAGGAGGAACCTGAGCTCCAAACCCAAATGCAGGAAACAGCTTGTCCCTGGAAAGAAAGGACAACAACAAGAAATGAGAAAGAGCAGTTCTTTAGTGACTCACTCTTCTGTTTTATTCTAAGAAAGCAGCTGGAGACCAAGACTGAATTCCTGCTGGTACATCATCAAGCTGGCCATGGCCAGGCACCAGGTACCCAAGGGATTCAGGCTTGGGCTTGACAGTTGCAGAATTTCCTTCAGCACAGCCCTCACAGGAGTCCCAGGAGATTTGAAAGCAGCAGGAGAAAAGCCAGACCCCACCCCAGGCTGGTCACAGGACAGAGCAGACAAACATATTCCCACTGAATCAAATAAGACAATCGTGTTTGCAATGCACCATCAGCAACAAGGGAGCAGTGAGCAGCTAAAGCAGCACACAGAGGGACCCAGGGTAGAGCAGGAGCCAAGCAAAGACACCAAATTATGAAAGGCTGCCATTGCCCTCCCTGGCACTGACAGAAGCAAGAGGAAACAGCAGCAGCTCCTTAAGGGATCTCCCCCAAGGAAAGGCAGCCCCTCAGTCATTAAAATGTTACAGGTCTGGAACAAACTATGAGCACTGATCTGCTGTGACAGTTTTGGTGAGGTGACCAGGGCACTCAGGATCATTACATACGTGTCATAATCCTGGACTACACTTCCCACACTCCAGATGGCAATCAGGTACTCATTTATCCCATCTGGGCTGATGTAGTGAAGAGAATCTGGTGAGTTGGGATCTCCATTGGAGGCAGTGAAGTCTACACCCACCTAATCAGTCAAGATGATGGCAGCAAGTCACTGACACATCACCACAAGCACAGAGAAGAACTAACCACATCCAGAAATCCAGCAGATCTACACAGGAGCAGGCACACAAGCCTGCACCCCTTTTCCCACTGGAGTACAGGCATTTTTAAGCAGTAGCAATCCTTTCCCACTGACAGACTGAACCAATTTCTCAAAAGAAGAAGCCTGAGCTCCGTTAAAGTGCTACTTGGTCACAAAAAGTAAAAATATAGTTATCATTTGGGTTTTGCAGACTCCACTGCAAACTCACACTGCATTTGCAGTCATTGACGCTGCCAACAGAACTACACAACCTCAGCGCTCGTCCTGTCATCCACCAAGACAGGCAGTGGGGAAACAACTCACTGTGAAGTTAATCTGGCAGCCTCCCATCACGTAGTCCAGGAAGGAATATTCTGTCTCAATCTAGAGGAACAGACAGTGTTACACCCACTCATTTCGTTATGATCAGGATAGAAAAAAAAGCAAAAAAAAACCCAACAAAAGTCTTCCTACCTTGCAGGATTTTACCCTAATAATGCCAGAGTTTTTATAGCTCTTTTTCTTTTGTTTTTTCTCAGGATGAATGCATTCAAATTCCACCTACAGAAAGCAAGCATGGAAGAATCAAGTTCCAAAATATCTGCACTTACAGCAGAGCAAATTATGGAAACAGAACGGTGTCACACACCACACAATTTCAGAGTTACCCAAATACCCAGCAGAATTCAGAAATTTATTTTAAAAAGGTCTGCAACTACTTTGGCTGCTGTCTGATGAACTAAATGGGATACTTTTGCCACCAGCACTGGGCAGAGGAGGCAAAATCTTGGGTGGGGAGGCCAAAAAAGCCAGGCCATGGGTTCCCAGTACTTGGTTTCACTCACATTAGTTCTGAACTCACACAGGCCATGGAGAAAGGCAAGAACCTTCTACCAGCTTTAGTTTATGGCCACAAACATCAAGCTGGCTGGCACCTGGAGTAGTCTCAGGCTCTGTCCTGTGTGCAATAATACATCTGCCCGAACTCAGGTGAGACATCCCCATGAGAATGAGACGTCAGGTTTTCACTGCAGACAACAGCACCAGCATGGGACTAAATCTATTCTGCACTGGATGGCCAAAGCAAGGTAAGGAAAGTGTCCCTTGGAAGGGTTCTTGCTCTCTGTTAACTGACAAGGCCACCAGAGCACTTGTGAGGGTGACCAGCACAAATAAGCTGTGCCTCTGGACTCTGTAACAGTCTCAACAAGCACTTTTATTTCCCCTGGACTCAGAAGAGGCCAAAGCAGGCTGAACTGCTGAAAAAAGTGGCTGGCAACCAGCAGACAACAGGCTCAAGGATGCCTTTAGAAACAGGAACTGTAACAGAACCCAAAGAAAATAAAGAAATGTAATTCCCACACCATTCTTCCCAGATGCTGGCTTAATAATATAAAGATACAAACAGAAATAATCACGTTTGGAGGCAACACTTCACAGTGTGAGCCCGAGGTCAATATTAAAAAGGGTTTGTGAAGGCCTGGATTGTGGCCCAAGTCAGCAGGGGCTGGGGATGCTCACCGGGGAGCCGGGGCTGGCTGTTTGCATCTGCGCCAGGGTCGTCTGCACAGCACCGATCAGGTCATGGGAGCCATCGCTGTCGTGGTCTGAACACTGCACCTGCAGGGAGAGAGTGGGCATGGACACTGCACCTGCAGGGAGAGAGTGGGCATGGACAGGGCATGGACACTGCACCTGCAGGGAGAGAGAGGGCATGGACACTGCACCTGCAGGGAGAGAGTGGGCATGGACACTGCACCTGCAGGGAGAGAGAGGGCATGGACACTGCACCTGCAGGGAGAGAGTGGGCATGGACACTGCACCTGCAGGGAGAGAGTGGGCATGGACACTGCACCTGCAGGGAGAGAGTGGGCATGGACACTGCACCTGCAGGGAGAGAGTGGGCATGGACAGGGCATGGACACTGCACCTGCAGGGAGAGAATGGGCATGGACACTGCACCTGCAGGGAGAGAGTGGGCATGGACACTGCTCCTGCAGGGAGAGAGTGGGCATGGACAGGGCATGGACACTGCTCCTGCAGGGAGAGAGTGGGCATGGACACTGCTCCTCCAGGGGAGGAAGGGGCAGGGCATGGGTGTCCTGTGCTAGAGGGACCAGCTGCTGCTCCCCAGCCCATCTCCTCTGTCCCACCTTTGCAGCAGAAGTGGGGGTATTGGCCAAACCACTAACTGAAACCCAGGAGTAAAGACACACGCCCAGAGTGAATCTCAAAAATGTTCACTTCCTCGTCATGTTCAAGTATGCACAAGTGAAAATTTTAAATAAAATCTTTCCCTGGTTTAAATGGAAATTATTGAATTAATAAATAAATAAAAATTTCAAAGAAACCTTAAAAAAAAATTCCAACATTCCACAGCCCAGATGTATAAATGTGAGATCATTCAGGACAAGATATGGAACCGGAGCAATGGGAAGAAGCAATTAAAACTTCATTATCTAAGCACTTTCTGAATATGCTCTTTTTTCCATCCAACAATAGCATTGATTTACAAGGAAATTGCAATTTCCATGGAACAGTAAGTCTGCCTTTTTCTGCATCTTATACAGACCAAATGATAAGCACTTCATTAATAACCAGTCATGTTTAAATCAGCATGAAAGCTTCAGAACTAGACAATGTAAAAGAGCAACGCATTTACAAACAAAAATATGCTCTTAGTTGTGGCTTACAGCAAGCATGGGGAGATGGGTTGTCAGTAGCTCCCCACAAAACCACTGGTGAAGAGCATTTCTAATGCACTCCATGCATGCAGAACACAAGTAATTCCAGAAGCAGCCAACTAAGAAACAGCTACAAGCAGCTGGCTGCTCCCCTGCCACACAGATTCACAATCTCTTTCCAAGATTTGCCTTTAGCCATCCAGAAACTGATGCTACTCCAGTATAAACCACAGGGACAGCTTTCTCCTCAGGACAATGGGACAAGATGGGGTAAGGATGTCAAATTCAATGGCTAGATACCTGAATATCTTCCACTGGTGTAAGTGGAAAACCTGTACCAACAGCCAGGTGAATTATGGCCTAAGGTAGCCACCTAAATGGGAAGCAGCAAGTCATCCTTCACTGCCTTAATGGGGAAACCAGATACCACAGTGACTGTGCCCCCTTCTCCCCCTTCATCCTTTCAGAAAACGGTTTTGCTTTTGAGTTACCTGCCATCAAACCTACGAATTTGTACCAACACCCACAAATTTCTATTTTGCTGTTTTGCCACTTCTATTTGCCACATTTGCTCTTTCCATTTAAATAACCACGGGGGTGAGAGGCTGCTTTCACTCGCCCTTATTTTTAACACAACTGTCACGAAGATTAGGCTGTGTCACAGATCTGAGCTGTTCTTAACACAGCACAAGGAGAACATCACTCTGCATTGCAGTGAAGAAAGAATTATCATAATACTGGGCAGCATCTGATCAAAAGATTTATGTCCACGCACACATTCCGTGCCTAATCCTCACACACAGCTGGCAAAGCTGATGTTTAGGGCATACACCAGAATGGCTGTTCCCACTGTGTTGGAGTTCAGGTTCTCCCTTGACCAGTATTTCACACATAATTGCTCCCACGGGAATTTTTTGAAGCCTCAAACAAGAGGTTCATAGGAACAAATGCCAGATGAAAATTAAACCACCACTGCAATTATATTCTTTAGTGTTGCTAGTGAAACACCTGCCTGTCACCCTGACTGACTGACTGACTGCCCCAGCCTGGTAAGGACAATCCTTTTTCACAGCTGCACTGAGAAACTTTAACAGACTATTTGCACATGCATCGAGAATTTTGGCTCAAATGGACTAACGGCAAAAATCTATCCTTTTGAAGAAGCAGATCACTCCAAAGTGAACTTCAAAGCACAGAAAGCTTCTGGAAAACAAACAAAGCAAAACAGCAATACAAATGTTTTTGGACTACAGCAAACACAGCCCCAAATAACAAAACAAACCACACCATGCCAGTTCTGGCAAACATGCATCTCTCAGCCATCCCCTTCACACATCTGCTGCGCCTTTTGGACCCAGAAGAGTTTTTTCTGACCTAAGACGGTTGATTCCTCAGCAATAAAAGCTCGTGAACACCACTCAGAGCACTGCCACCTGTCAATAAGCCCAGCATACCTGAACACCTATTTCCAGGTTAATAGCCTCAGTAATTCTTTGGACCTGCCATACTGCACAAGAAACAACATTAGCATGCATGCTTTTTGCTAAACCTTCCAGACCCAGCTTCCAGCATGAGACTTCTTCAAAGACTGGATGAAACAGGAAAATTCTGCAAATGCAAAGTATTTAGGTGTTGGATAAGCAGAGAGGAACTATACTCACACAGAACTACCCACTGATTTAAATGCCTTTAAATTAGCAATGCATTGCTTAGAAGAAAAAATAACAAATTAAGTTGCTATCAGACAACACCTGTGAGCTTCCCAGTTAACTTAAAAACAGTGGTAGAAAGCCACAAGAAAAAAAAATATAAACCAAACAAGATACCACCACTGAAGCCCAACCTGAAATCCTGGACAGAATAGTGAAAAGAAAAACCAGTTATAATTCTTCTTGTGACTAATCCTTAGAAATTGTGTCACTTCTGCATTTCCTGACTTCTCAGTTTGAAAACTCATAATATTTTAATACAGACATCATACTTAACAGAATATGATCACTTACCTGCCACACTATAATTCTAGGAAGGTAATCTAAAAATTAAAATGTGACTAGACAGCCTGATAACTCACAGTCAGCATCAACAGAGAACAGATGACTTGCAACAACAAACAAAGAGGATTTCTGAAGGCTGTACCTTGATAGGTTTATTAAAATCTCCACCACAGAACGTCTGCAAGGGAACACTGAACTTCCTCCAGCACGGATTTAGGTTGTTCTTGATCACCTTAAAAAAACATCAGCATAATGTCATGTGAGGGATGCAGCAACGCAATCACTAAGAAATGTGACGTGAGGGCTCTGCGTGGCGAGCAGGGAACAGCCTCAGTCAGTTCAACCCTGGTGGGTATCGAGAGCCAAGCAACAGCTCTGCCAGGAATTAAAGACTGATTTCAGGGTTAAATTCAATTTTAGAGCCAAGCCAACCTAACAGCTCAACACCACAAAAAGGGAGGAGGGTCACTCTTCTCACTCAACAGCTTCACCCAGTCAACAGGCAGCAAATAAACAATTTACTGCAGGCTCAGTTAGTAGAATTCCTTTTTACTGGGTGCAACTTTCTCTGCAAATCTGGTGCAAAGCATGACCAGGAGTGGGACTCCCACTCCTAGTAGGAGTAAACTGTCTGATCATCTCAGGAAAAACAGTGTGGAAATGCTACCTCTGATCTGTACACGAGCTGCCACATTCCAGCATCACCCTGCTTGTAGAACTCCAGAAACGGATCGGATTTACCCAAGAAATCCTGCAAACAAAAACCCAGCAGAAGTCATCAGCCTCCTACATTTTATCCCAAATGAGTAAAGAGTTGGCTAATCAGTACACAATACTTCACACAAAGCACAAAGTCAAACAAACTACACATCTGTTTTCTTGCCTGGCTTTTATTTTTCTCTTTTAAACTGCTGCACTTTATAAATCATCAGAATTTATCAGCTCCAAGCCCGCCCCCTCAGACCACGTTTGTCACTATATAAATCACATCACTTTGCTGACAGAGCAGGTAGGCCACTAAATCCCTGGATTGGTCTTTGGCTTCAAATAACAATGAGCAGCACACCTAAATTTTCACCTTTTCTTCTTTAATGAAAATACAGAAAGATCAGTTTACAGCTACAGTACTCAGTGGAGAAAATTATGTACTGAACTCTAGTAATATACAGAAGCCAAATGAATGCCCCAAAACTTAAACCTGGCAATCGAGTTTCCAGTTTGACATTGTGTTTTTCAACACCAAATTGTGTCTCCAGTTTACTGCACTGTAAGTAACAAACCACAGCGAGCCTTTGCTCACACATGGATTACTGTCTTAGCTGAATATCTGCAAACACAGAGAGGTTCCTGGACAAAAGGCACAAACTCTTAACTACTACAGAAGCATGCAATATAATTAAAAAAAAAAAATCAATACCTTTTTGTCCAAGTTTTGGGCTTCCATTTCTAGGTACACAACCCTGGTATCTTTAATCTCCTCTGCTGAAATCTGTGCCACAGAAATTTAGGGGTTAAAAAAAATTAAACAAGAAATCAGAGTTCTGCTCGTACTTTGTCCATGGAAGAAACTCTGGCACACAAACCAGAAATGCCACTTTGTCCCAGCCAATATACGAAAGTTTTTCACACAAACCCCTTATTTACCGTAATAGTGCCCTTCCCTGCTGGCTTTCCCCGCTCCAGTTCCAGCGGTCGGGTGAACACAGAGCTGGACACAACCTAAGGTTAAAAGACAGGTAATCTAAATATCAAGTTAGACAAAGGGCAAAGAATTATTCTTCAGGTGCAAAATTTTCAAACTCTCCTAAAAGTTCTAAGAAGATTTAAATGCACTGCTGACAGTGACAGACATCAGTTTGTGCTCCTGAATGGCTACACAGTCTGGAAGTTATCTTCTCTCCCTATCCAGGAAACACATCTCCAAAGTTAACTGTAAGATGCCCACAAACACATCTCCAAAGTTAACTGCAGCCATCTATTTTTGCTGCCTCTGTGACACAAGAGGCACTGATATCACGGGTAGACAAAAAGCTACAAAAACCAGAAAATAGTATTTAATTTATCGAGTCTTTCTTCAATAATGTGAGACCTGCTTTTCTTCTCCCACCTCACTATACAAACCTCTCCTCAGGAAACAAGTACAGAATCTCCAGTAGTCTTTTTTCCTCAATTTTACTGCCTGATGGCCCCTTGTCTAAAGGAAACTCCATGAGGGCTCTCCAAGCTCTCTTGCTTCCTTACTCTCAAACTGCCTTTAGTGCTACAAGTGCCTCCTAAATTAAGCCATGTGTATTTCTAACCTTTACTTTGTGATTGACACAATGATTTTTCTAACTATGTTCAATAGTAACACAAAATTAACATGTTTAACAGTGTTTTCAAATTTCAATGTGTCAAAGCCTTTGATAAAGCAGATTTTCACCTAATTTTTCATAATAAAGCCAAGTCCTGCTGCTACTTTGTAGATCACTTGACACAACTCCACATACCTGTCCCAGCGTGCACTCAACCCCTCCCAGGTAGTCATCATCATTTAAATCAAAGGTCTTGTTATCGATGTCATACACGCCGAATTTCAGCTTCTGCACTTTCTCAAAGTAGTAATCCACAACCAGTTTCTTGCAGAACTCGGGGTCTTGGCAGTTCTTGATCCTCTCCGTGCGATCCAGCTGCACAAACACACAGGAACAAAGCTGCTGATGAGGAAGAGGAAGCACCTGTTCTCCCACACGGCTTTCTACTTGCACTGGGTGAGCACAGGCATCAGCAGGGCTACACAGCCCGCACCACGCCTCGTGTCTGGAGATGAACGGGGCTGACCAACGGCTCACCAGGATAGGAAACAGCACTGGAAAATAAACATTCACGTATGGGAAAATTCTGACAGTGAGGGGGAAAAGCCGGTGAAACACTGTATTCTGGAGCCTGAGCTCTGGGACAGGTTATACTGTAACAGGCAAACGAACCTCCCGATGCAACCCTGAGCAAAAGAGCGAGCGGCTGATGAAACCACTGCAGGTTTGAGCGCGGGCAGTGAGACTGCCCCCACGACTGAAAACCCGAATCCAGCGTGCCGAGCGCTCGGCTGGGAAAACCTGCGGGACGGAAAGGGGGAGACCCGGCGCGTTCGGGGGCCGCTCTTACCTCAGCCCAGCGGCCGCCCCCCGCGTCCTGCAGCAGGACGCAGAGCGGGTCCGACCTGGAGCGCAGGTCCTTGTCGAGGAGGCTGCGGCAGGACACGGACAGCTCCACGCGGGACACGCAGGAAGCCATCTGCGGGCAGAGCAGAGCAGAGCGGAGCGGAGCGTCAGCGGCGCGGCCCGGCCGGGGCGGGGCCCGCAGTACCGGCACTGCGGCCACGGCCCCTCCCGCCCCCTCACGGGCAGCGCCACACAGAGCCCCGGGCACAGAGAGCGCTCCGGGGCACACAGAGAGAGCCCCCCCGGGGCACACACGGAGAGAGCCCCCCCCGGGGCAGAGAGAGAGCCCCCGGGGCACACACGGAGAGAGCCTCCCCCGGGGCACACACGGAGAGAGCCCCCCCCGGGGCGCACACGGAGAGAGCCTCCCCCGGGGCACACACGGAGAGAGCCCCCCCCGGGGCACACACGGAGAGAGCCCCCCCCGGGGCACACACGGAGAGAGCCCCCCCCGGGGCACACACGGAGAGAGCCCCCCCCGGGGCACACACGGAGAGAGCCCCCCCGGGGCACACAGAGCGCCCGCAGTGCCCCGCCGCGCCCCCCGGCTCGCCCCGCCGCCGTCACTCGGCTCCTCTGTTCACCTATTCCTGCCGGGCTCTGCCCGCCGCTCCCGCTGCCCCCGCAGGGCCCTTCCCTCCGTCCCGGTGCGGCTCCTCCAGCACAGAAGCCCCTTCCCCGGGGCCCGCGCCCCCAGCCCCGCGCAGGGACAGGGACAGGGGGGAGGCCGAGACTCGCCCCGCGCGGTGGGAGCTCTGCCCCTTCCTGCCTGCAGGGACCCCCTGCTCGCCCACGGAACAACGGAGCCCCCGTGCTCTGCCCTGCTCTCTCCCGATAAACCCTAACATCGGCCTGGCGCAGGCATAACTACGTTTTATTGCACATGACACTGCAGACGCCTCTGTTCGAGGAACAGCGCTAGTTCTCAAAACAGCATTCAGAAGATAAACCTTCAAGCACCAAAACATTACAGAGACTGGACAGTTTGAGGGCTCTAACAAGTGCTTTAAATGGGAATACTTCATAGAGAAGTTCCTTTCGAGTTTGGAAAATAAGCAATTATTTGTTTGGTCTTTCTAGTACTCGAGTATCCCATGGCTTTCTCATACTTCCAAGGTGTAAATATTTATCTTGAAGAGATGAACTTTTACTGCACAACCTTTAATCCCTTGGACATCCCAGTCTGCAATCTGCCCTGGACAGATGTTAACGACGTCACTTAATACACCAGTGCACGGCACTCGGATGCTCCAGCGATGGGGCACCACAAAACCAGCGCTCAGTAAGAATTAGCAAAGCTTTAGGCAAAGACAATCATAGTTCAGCTTTCAACTGAAAAACTGCTTTAACGCCAGCATTTCCAAAGAGGCTTGTTTGAAGGAGTCTGGTCAACTGTTCAAATTACTGGCTGGAGCCATCCATCTTCCACTCAGTTGCCTTCAACCCCAAATAAGATTCACAGAAGAAACTATTACCTTTAATAAATACATTTCTCCTAAAATCTCAAGTCACAGGTACCAGGTTTTTTCTTCATCCACACATGCCATTCCACCGGACCAGCTCACATCTCACACAGCCTCAAATCTGCTGTTCCACACGACCCTACACATTCGTACAACACCTCCTACTTGACAACAAGGAAGGCCAGGACATCCAGTCTGCGTCCCCTGCCAATGTTTTGCCTCTGTTTTCCTCTACTACAGCAGAGATTTCTATAGTAGCAGGAGGCACCTTTCCTTTCCACTAGAGCTGAAAGGATCAGGAGTAAAGTTAACCTCAAAGAAACAGCTCCCCATAAGCTTTAGATCCCTAATCAGCTGTGGTGCCTTTCTGTGAGGAAACCACTACTGCAGGTCTCAAGATGCACTCAGAAAAGGCCTGTACATATTTACTCCATGTTACAAAGGATCCAAAAAGGAAGAGTTTGAGATGGGAACTGTTAAACCACAGAGTGAAGCCAGCAGGTGAAGGGATGCAAGTTCTCACACCCAATCACCTCTCATCTGCTACCTGAATCTCTTCTCCAGGTCAGGAGCAATGAAATCATGAAAACACTCCATTTTCAAGGATTTGGTTTTCAGTACCCTAATACCCAGAAGGCTGTCTCATCCAACTGGTTTGGATTTAGTAATGTCATAGGATTTCCCTTGAAACTCTCGGGCAAGTTACAAATCACAAGGAATCCTTTCCTGCTGTATCTCCCTGCTGTAGCTGGAGATCAAAGGCACTGCTTGGTGCACATGACAACCAAAACCCAAGAGAGCACAGCCAGGTCAGCTCTTGGGAGTGGCTGAGCAGGAGCTGTCCTTGGAACCAACTGTATTCCTTCCTCGCCAACTTAGGGGATAACAAGAAAGTGGATTTAACAACTACAGACCAAATCCTTACAGAAAGAAGAGAGGGATGGCTCCTTAAAGAGATTCAGATAAAAAAATTCATATTTAATCCAAAAACATCAGTTTGAACCTCAGCCAGCACGTGTTTCTATATTACTGCCTATGGATGTCCTCAAAGAGCCCACACAACCTCCGTTTCACTTCATGGCTTTCCAAACACACTGCATGATGTTCTCCAGCATCAATCCATTCCCTGAATAACACCAGAAGAAAATCCTCATCACAGACATCCCAGCAGCAAGAGCAAGGAGCAGTTGGCCTGTTAAGATACAGCATCTATTTCAGCCAAGCCTGAAGATCAGCTTAGCCTCCACTTAAGCAACTTTGCCCAGTTACCCTGCTCCTGCAGTTACTGAGCAGCACAAATCTCTGGAAACCTGCCTGCATCTGAAAAGATCCAAAAAAATCAAAAGCCTAACGTATTTGCATCCCCAAACACATATACAAAAAAAACAAGTGGAAAGAAAAAATAGTGAAGTCCTTCAGCAATTAGGAAAACGAGCCCCAACTTCAGTTATCAGTGATTTTTAAACAGGATTTCATTATGATAATATGGGCTCACGTTTTCTCTTTTCTTCCCTAAGGCAAGATTTCTGGAATTTGCTTTCATTTTCACAGTAAACTGTAATTTACTATAGTAATTGCATCTTTCTACAAAAAAACTGAATAGTTTATCTTAAATGTATCAGTTGACTTTCATCTCCACCTCTCTCCACAAAGTCCCAGTTCCCTTCCTCCGGGAGGAGTGACCATCCCAAAAGCTTTGAAAACACCAGCAACTAATCCTTGGACTTAGAAACACCCCATGGCTACCCCCCCCCCCACCCCGTTCCTCTTTGAGCCTGTGATGCTTCCTTCGTGTTCTGCACTTGCACACAACCCTGCAACAGCATCTTGGCCCTTCATCACGCAGAGCTGCCCAGCTGGCACGTGCCAGCACAAGCACAGGGCATCAGCACGGTGCTCACCGCTTACTAGGGCTGGGCAACAGCCACACCACTGGTGGTTACCAAGCCCAAACAGTGCACAAAGGCTCTCAGCTCAAGGCTAAGCACATCAGGTGTAACTGAACTGAAAGAACTCGGGGATTTATTATTTTTTATTAACAGCCTTCCTTTCTTCCTCAGCACGCGCTCAAGAACACCGATTGCATTCAGCCTGCACGTTCCAATCGACATTTCAAACCACATTTCATGTTGTTTCCCTGGGTTTTCACAGAGCACACTTATTTATATCCATTCATACACACAAAATAAGTTTAGCTTTTAGACTTGCAACAGTATTTACGACAAAAGAATATTTACATTTGTTGCAACATTCGATTTTTTCTATTTTCCAACTGTTCCACAAATTCTAAAATGCATTGATTTCTTATTTACCCCTCACAGCCACCATTGATAACTAATATTGATGTCTACTATTTGAACCTTCTGGTTTACAGAAGACAGCGAATATTTCCCAAGCAAAACCAGCAGATAAAGCAAACTGCTTTCCATAAAGGTATCACATTTCATTTATAAAGGATTCATTACAGATCAGTTGCAATAATGACAGTTTAACAATCTCCAGCTTGACTGCCACTGGCAGATTAAAGTACAGCACGGTCTGGAAGTCACAGAACTATTCTAGACACAGAAATTCAGTTTGCCAAGTAGAAATGAACTCCAAAAGTGATAATAAATTCAAACTCTGTTTGAAATATAGAAAGCAGAGCTACTGGGTATATCCCAGCACAGTGGGTTCAAAGGAAAAGGCAGCACGAGCAAACCAGCAGGTAAGTGCTGTTGCTCCAACAGCCTGTAAAATCACAACTGAGGTTATGTTACACCCCCACAATCAACAGTTCCACTGACAACAGGCACTCACATCTGATGCAGTGCTGCCCCAGCTCGGGGAGCTCCCTGCTGAGAGGCATCGCCCGCGAAGCTTCATCTGGAGATGGATTCTGTCAACTGCTTCCTCAAGGGAAGTTTGCAAACCTCAGCTTCAGATCCATCAGACACCTCTGGTTTTCCCCCTTTAGTTAGAACTGCACATGATAGAACACCACATTTTGAAGAAAAAAGTAATGCATTACCCATGTTATCCCTACAAGCTCCAAAGCAAAATGCTATCCCTAGAAATCTGCAAGCACACACTTTCACTGCCCAACCACGATGTCATTCCCACTTACTCAAGTACAACACAGAATGGCTCCAGACTAGGTACACTTTACGTGCCCAGACAACCACACTGAGGTTCAGTTTAAAAAGTTAAAATCATTTTCACTGTGCATACCACCCTGTAAAGATGATCATAAACTTCAACAGCTGTGTAATACACACAGAAAGATAAATCTCATCTTTTCAACAGAGCTGTTCTACACCAAAATGAAACACAGCAGTACAAGGAGTTGGTCCTAAATAATCAAAGCAAGCCCAAAAAAATGCTACATTCTAGGAAAATCACATAGGACACCTATGCTACCCATTCAGAAGGATAAGAAATTACCTGCTACTTCCTCAAGTTTCTTAAAAGCATTTCAGAACTTCCAACCCTTTTCACATTTTTCATGTTTCTGCAGAAAAAGCAACTTCCTCTCCCACAGAAAAGAACATTCTCCAACATAAAGAAAATCAACACATAGACAAGTCTGATATTAAATTTATTATTCCTTCAGTGATTCAGTTTAATCAAA